CACTGGCTGGCCAAGGCCTTATCAAGGTTGAGGTGGTGCAAACAGTACTGCCAACCTGATAACTAGTTTCTTTTTTTCTTTACAAAAGTCATCATCTTTTCTACTTGCAACACTTTAATGAAACAAACAGCAGTATGTTCACACAGCATATGATATGGAGACTGCAGTTTAAAAGACTAGTTTTTTTGAGCTTTATATTTTAATGGTGTATCATAATTCAGTTCAATATAAATATGTTAATCCATCCCATCAGTTTTCTGTTGCCTATCTGGGCCGAAGCAGGGTTCAGACACTCCTCCGCACAGCAGGATTTCCCAGCGCTTCCTGGAGAAGTGTCTCCATGCATGATGATTTCATTGTAGAGTACATGCTGCTCAAGTTTAGCTATATGCTGTATTACCTCCAACAATAATGCATGTAAAACTAGCTTCTCTGTCTCTATAACAATCAATAGACAGTATCGTGCAGTGTTTTATTAAATTTACAGTTTTTGGAACAAACTGGCTGTTGTGTGTATTGCTTGGGCTACTATGTGGGGAACTGGCCAAATACATGGTCAGAAAGGTCACAAACCTTCTTTCATGATTGTAAATCAAGTCTAAAGAGGACACAGTGATGATTGCCTATAACAGATAAATGGCTGCATACAGCAGTGCCAAACATGTCAGCGGCTGGAAGCTCATCCTGTTCACAGATCCTACCCCACCCACCAGCAGGATTACGCTACTGCCGAAACATGAGTCTGCATTTGGACTTACTCTGGTATTTTCACAGGAGGATAAGAGATCGAGGCCTACATGATCCATCATCTGTTCATTCCAAGGCTTATCCTGATAGTAATGTGGAGAGTGGTGGTGTTGTTACTGAGTGTCTATGTAGGGCAGACACACCTAAATCAGATTTTAAGTAATTTGATTTAAGTAGGTTAAGCATGACTTTCTACAAATTTGGTGAGTTTCTGTTCACTCTCATTTGGTTAACAGTTATTAAAACAACATATAACACAATCAAAGATAAACACACTCACACACTGAATTATATGGGATGTTTGGGGTGTTTATGGAGATGAAAAAATCCCCCAAACTGCCAACATCAAACAGTGTCCTTTACGTGACCTCTTTTGAGTACCAGTCACACTAACCACATTTCTACCCCCACGTGATTGTCCCTCTTTTCAGCTCTGGACAATAAGACACAACTTCAAGTGTTCAAAGACAGCCACTGAAACCCCACCAGAACAACATTAGTGTCCCTCTCTGACAGTGTTGGGACACAGTGTGTGAGGCTCTGCTCCAGATCCTCTCATAGGCTAATCAAAGTGAAATCTGGTGATATGATAAAGTAAAGCTTGCATCATTTCTATACTCATGACCTTTTCTAATAAGAGCAAGGTTTCCCACTCATATTTGTGCAAAACTTCAAAGTAATTTCATTATATATTTTAAATATTAGCACATTAAAACAAATAAAACATTAATCAAATATTTCCCTATGTGATGTTTTATGTAGTTTCTGTCATATCTACAAACAAAGACTGTGAGCTCTGAATCACCCATGATGCAGCAGATATGTTTAAACCCACCTATATTTTACTGGAGCGCTACTTCCCAGCAGGTGAACAGATGGCTGCAGTTACCTGTGCTACGTGGCTTTGCAGGAGAGGGCGCGGCTGCTCAGCATTTTGTGCTGCCTTCACGTGTTATCGGACAAACTAATACACCTTAGTGCAAATGAGGACACCGTCGGCAGGAGTTGCAAATGACGAGTAGTGGTGGAAGAAGTACTGAGATCTTTTACTTAGGCTGAGTAAAAGTAGCAATACTGCAGTGTAAAAAAATACTCTGTTACAAGTCCTGCAGGCATTTTCTTTTTTTTTTAAAAAAAAAAAGTAAAAGCACAAGCATCAAGCTATACTTAAAGTACCAAAGGTAAAAGTACCCGTTATGTAGAATGGCCCAACCTAACTTAATACATAGATAAATAGATATTTCATTAATCCTGAGGGAAATTAAGGCACACAGTAGGTTATTACACAACACATACAAAACACAGATACACACAGGGATAGAGAATACAAGTGTAAGAATAAAAACATAAGAATAAAAACACATGACTACAGCATATGCTCATGATGGTAGTGCAAATGTTGGTGGATGACAGCGCAGGTACTGCAATGTAAGGTGATTAAATTAAAGTGTAAGAGTAATGAACTTGCTGTGCATAATATAAATGGAAGTGAAGATAAATGTGTGTACAGATACCAATGCAAGTATAGTTTTGTTTTAAATATATAACTTAAATAGTACAACATTTACCTATGAGATGTAGTGGAATAGAAGTATAAAGTAGCATCTCAGACCCCACCCATGTCCTCCATCAGGAGTACCACAGTCTCCCCTAAGGCAGACACTTTAGAGTCCCCCAGTGCAGCCTGACCACCTTAAAAACTCTTTTGTCCCTTTGTCCATTAAAACCTTAAATGGGAAGCTAACTGTTTCTTAACCATACATTGTGTATGTGTAGGTATGTAATGTAAGTATATATGTGTGTATGTCTATGTGTACAGTACAGGCCAAAAGTTTGGACACACCTTCTCATTCAATGCGTTTTCTTTATTTTCATGACTATTTACATTGTAGTTTCTCACTGAAGGCATCAAAACTATGAATGAACACGTGGAGTTATGTACTTAACAAAAAAAGGTGTAATAACTGAAAACATGTTTTATATTCTAGTTTCTTCAAAATAGCCACACTTTGCTCTGATTACTGCTTTGCACACTCTTGGCATTCTCTCTATGAGCTTCAAGAGGTAGTCACCTGAAATGGTTTCCACTTCACAGGTGTGCCTTATCAGGGTTAATTAGTGGAATTTCTTGCTTTATCAATGGGGTTGGGACCATCAGTTGTGTTGTGCATAAGTCAGGTTAATACACAGCCGACAGCCCTATTGGACAACTGTTAAAATTCATATTATGGCAAGAACCAATCAGCTAACTAAAGAAAAACGAGTGGCCATCATTACTTTAAGAAATGAAGGTCATTCAGTCCGGAAAATTGCAAAAACTTTAAATGTGTCCCCAAGTGGAGTCGCAAAAACCATCAAGCGCTACAACAAAACTGGCACACATGAGGACCGACCCAGGAAAGGAAGACCAAGAGTCACCTCTGCTTCTGAGGATAAGTTCATCCGAGTCACCAGCCTCAGAAATCGCAAGTTAACAGCAGCTCAGATCAGAGACCAGATGAATACCACACAGAGTTCTAGCAGCAGACCCATCTCTAGAACAACTGTTAAGAGGAGACTGCGCCAATCAGGCCTTCATGGTCAAATAGCTGCTAGGAAACCACTGCTAAGGAGAGGCAACAAGCAGAAGAGATTTGTTTGGGCCAAGAAACACAAGGAATGGACATTAGACCAGTGGAAATCTGTGCTTTGGTCTGATGAGTCCAAATTTGAGATCTTTGGTTCCAACCGCCGTGTCTTTGTGAGACGCAGAAAAGGTGAACGGATGGATTCCACATGCCTGGTTCCCACTGTGAAGCATGGAGGAGGAGGTGTGATGGTGTGGGGGTGTTTTGCTGGTGACACTGTTGGGGATTTATTCAAAATTGAAGGCACACTGAACCAGCATGGCTACCACAGCATCCTGCAGCGACATGCCATCCCATCCGGTTTGCGTTTAGTTGGACGATCATTTATTTTTCAACAGGACAATGACCCCAAACACACCTCCAGGCTGTGTAAGGGCTATTTGACCAAGAAGGAGAGTGATGGAGTGCTGCGGCAGATGACCTGGCCTCCACAGTCACCGGACCTGAACCCAATCGAGATGGTTTGGGGTGAGCTGGACCGCAGAGTGAAGGCAAAGGGGCCAACAAGTGCTAAACACCTCTGGGAACTCCTTCAAGACTGTTGGAAAACCATTTCAGGTGACTACTTCTTGAAGCTCATCAAGAGAATGCCAAGAGTGTGCAAAGCAGTAATCAGAGCAAAGGGTGGCTATTTTGAAGAAACTAGAATATAAAACATGTTTTCAGTTATTTCACCTTTTTTTGTTAAGTACATAACTCCACATGTGTTCATTCATAGTTTTGATGCCTTCAGTGAGAATCTACAATGTAAATAGTCATGAAAATAAAGAAAACGCATTGAATGAGAAGGTGTGTCCAAACTTTTGGCCTGTACTGTATATATGTACATTTATTTACTTATTTATTTTTTAACATAACCATGTATTTTTATGATGACTATGTAAAACTGTACTGTAGGTACTGAGTGTGCATGGAGTTGTGAACAGCTACAGCTCTGTGTATGGACTGTACAGATGTAGGAACTGTATGTATAACTGTTTAGTATCTTTTAACAGCAGGTACCGCATGTGTCCCAGGTAAATTTCTTTCAGGACAATAAAATCTATCCTATCTTATTAAATGGAAATACTTAAGTAAAGTACAAGCACCTCAAAACTGTACTTAAGCTCAATTCTTGAGTTAAATACTTAGTTATATTCCACCACTGCTGAAAAGTCAAAGCCTAAATATGTGTACTACTGAACATTATTAACAGGTCATAGTGGAACAGTAATGTCAGATTTACCAGCTTTAACTCAACTTTAAATTGTGTTTTCTTGTAAAAGTTGCTGACAGTTTTAAGTACGATAAGATATACTGTATTGTCCCCATAGGGAAATTGTCTTGGACTCGGGAACTGCATAAGTAACGTTAGGTCTATTGCTGCCTTAATAGTCCAGAAGAAATGAAAAGCGTGCACCATAAAAAACAAACAAACATAAAAACACATACTAAACATAACAGTATTGCACTCATGCATAGGTCATATATAGGAGGACATATAACTGCAAAAACATCATGATCAAAGGCAAACCTCAATCTGATGCACACCTCTCAGCTCTACTGAACCAAAGCGCCCTGAATGCGTCATAGGTCACATTTCTTCATTCCCACTGGAGCTCCGCTCTGAAGTGGGATGTTCCGGGAATCACTCGAAAGCAGCATTAGGTCTGATTGGCGTGTGTGTCCACTGTCCAGGCGCAAACGTCACGAGTCCGAAATCTTCCGTGGAGTAGTTTATCCGGACAGAAGAGTGGAAGAAGTGACTTGTATCTGGATTCCACTGTGCTGCATTCACGGTGTCGTTATGTGTGGATGTTGTTAACAGAGGCACAGGCCGGTTGGGGCACTCCGAGGAACGAGCAGGTGCATGTGGATGGCGATAAAACTCCAGGAAAACTCCGCTCTCTCCACACGGCTTCAACATCGGCAGGTCGATAAAATACTTGAAGAATTGAACTAAAACGACGTCTTAATTTGGGGGGAAGCTGAAGAACACTTTCCATGGCTTTCTCCTGTCGGGAATAGCATGTTAAGCCCATGTTAAGCAGCGTCCTCGGTCGTGTCTCACGCAAACATGGAGAAAAGTTAAAAGTGACCGTTTAAGCTAACCTACCTCAGCCGGGACGTCGACGTTCATGTTTTTTGTAAACTTTTGCATCGTTGTTTTGTCTTTTTTGGAGAGAAACAACACGGTGGATACATGGTGAGACTTTAGCACAGATTTCAGGATATCACTGGAGCTGAAGAGGCAATGGAGAAGAAGAAGAAGCCGACCGATGTGTCACGCTCCCCGGACGGTAGAGCCAAGGACAGAGTGGACAGGTACCGTTAGCAAACACAACGTTGGGCTGCAACAGTTATTTAACGGTTAATTCAGCCTGTTTAAACGTTTAGAACCACATCCTACAGACTTTGGGAGGCTGTGGCTAGGTGACTCACTTTCCTGATAAGTAATTTCAGAAGCAGCAAATTATTTTATTCAGTATTTCGTGGGAAATTGGGAGCAGAAACCACTTCTAACCGTTAAAGTTACTCGAGTTGTTGACTCATAAGGAGTCAGAACAGTGGCAGGAAGTTTTGGCATTGAAAAAGGAAACATTGACACTGAAAAAAATCTTCTGAGGAATAAAACACAGGCTTGAAAAAAAACTTTTTTTTAATTTAATTTATATTTTATTTATTTATTTTTTCATTCAGTGACCATCAATGGCAATATTTTGATTTTTTTTTTCTTTGTGATTCTTTAGTTAAGTTTAAATTATTTATATATTTAGTTTTTTTTGTTGCACAATTAAAACACAAAAAAGACAAGAAAAGGCAAGTTGACTTAAATGGAGCCAGAACAGTGGCAAGAAGTTATGGCATTGAAAAGGGAAACATTTGCACTGAAAAATAAAACACAGGCATTGAAAGGGTTCATTTTATTATTATTATTATTTTATTATATTTTATTTATTATTGTTATTATTTTATATTCAGTGACCATTATTGACAATATTTTGATTCTTTTCCTTTGTCAGTCTTTAGTTTAGTTTAGTTTTTAAAAAACATACAATTAAAACACAAAAAAGACAAGAAAAAATGAATCATGAAGTACAGTGCAGAGTTTTTTCCACGCCAAAAAAGTGACAGAGATTTGAAAATGAGGAAAAAAAGAGACTGAAAAAAACCAGTAAAAATAAAAAAACACCTGACACTAAAAAAAAACATAGTGGCATAAAGGAAAAAATGAAGATTGCCACTGAAAAACAGACCAGAATGCAAAAATATCCAAATAAAATATTTTTTAATTTCTACACTTTACTTTTTCAGTGTCTTTTTCTTCTTTTTTTTCAACAAGGGTTGGAAATTAGCATAAGCCACCAGCCAAAAGCTGTTAAAATATGCAAGTGGCTGCTAGATTTCCTTCATTCATCAGCCAAACCCCCCCCACACCCAAAAAAACCCCAATGGTCTGCAATCTATTGAGTGGCTGGTAGATTTTGGAATTCACCAGCCACAGTGGCAGGTGGACAAAAAAGTTAATTTCCAGCCCTGCTGTTACAGCTAGCCCACTAACTTAGTACAAAACTCTGATACACATTGTGGTATTTTAACAAATCGCAGTAACTGTTTGTAGTTTTATTTCTATCCCATACAATCTCGACAGACAGCCACTGTATTTCATAGGTGTTTTTAATAAATGGACTCAGCTGACTAATAATCAGTGCAGAGGCTATTAGTGGCCTTCTGATGTTTATAGTTTTGTTTTGCTTATTAGAAATTGGACACATTTTTTGGCCATGTCACATGATGGTTTAAATAAAACTCTAAATTACTTGCCAGGTTATGTAGTAAACCTAGCTAAAGTGAATGCAGTCTGACACACCAGCCTTATGATAAATACCACCTTCAAGAAAATTATAATGTTCACCTTTTGCTGGATGTGTTTAAGTGAGGTGTCTAGTCAACTTTGTGGTCATTATGGAGTTTGTATTTTGTGGCTCTGTTGAATTTTAGAGGTGTTCTCCATAAATATTAATGAGGATCAATTAAATATTACAAAGTGCTCCCTCCAAAATGACCATAAAGTTGAATCAATGCTTCTTTAAAACAGTTGCAACAAAAACTGAAGGTTAAAACTTTCTGAAGGTAAGCTTTATTGCAGGCCTACTGGATTAGACTGCTTTAGTTGAATCGAGGTGTACCTAATAAACTGGCAGCTGAGTGTGTACTATAAATTTGTGTAGTTGTACTTTAAATGGTGAAGTTTATCCAGGCTGTCTACATTTAAACATAGGCTAAAGCATTTTGGTTCTTGTTGTATTTCTTTACCATCCACACTAATCTCTGCAGTGTTTGTTAAATTATTATTTTTAAGAAAAGGGGAGCTGTTGCACAGTTTAAACAAACAGTGATATGATAACCCAAACCAACACCTGAACCCAGGTGCCACATTCACTCAGTCCACACAGATAGATTCAATGTGTGCCCTTGCTTGTGTTTTCAGGGCTTGAAATTAACTTTTTTACATGGCAGCACCAGCAAAATTTTGGGAGCACCCACCATAATGTAAGAAGCACCAACAGTGTAATCGATTTTTTTTTATTGCAACAAAAAGTCGACATTATACTGTATACATTACATTGTATGTGTATAGTACACTTATCATTAACAACTTTTTTCAATTGAAGACATTCTTTTTTTAATAAAAAACACCACTGGACCACTGAGAACCACTGTGAATGAAAGAGAAACCTTAGATGATGATAATACTGATGATGATGATGACTGTCATGTTCAGTGGTAGCCTGGCGTTGCCAGACCCAATTCGCAAAGCGTGAGTGGGTCTGGACACGGAGTGTACATTTCCTCTATTCCCGCGGGCCGGTATCAACGGCTGTCACTCAGGAAAGACGGAAAACCGATCAGAGTAAACGAAACGTGTGACGTAGGCTAGCACAATGCTACTGTAAACATACCTGCAGGTGCAGCAGAGATGAGCTGTGATGATGTCTGGGATAGAGTGTTGCCGTCTTTGTGGATTTCCGCCCCAATGTGGACTTCCCTGACCTGCTTCTCCATGAGAGCAACTAGCGGAGAAACAACAATAGCCACTGGGTTTTCACTGAGTCCCATCTTTTTCACGATCAACGGAGACCGTTGGTAAATTAAACTTTTACCAAACCCCGTAGGAAGGATGGCAAACACATCCTTTTTTTCAATAAAAGCTTTCAGCGCAGTTGTTTGCTCTGCTTTTAAAGAAGCGCCTTTATGATTGCATGGCCAGACTGATCTGCGGAGCGAAATAGAATATGAGATCGCGAGATTAGGATGGTTTCACCAGGCCAGTTCAGTGGTGGTTCAGTGGTGTTTTCTAAAAGGTCTTTAAGCGTTCTTTTCATTTCCTCTTCCCTCCGGCATGAATTAGCTTCAGCTTCTAGTTAGTTCTGAGTGACGGGGGGGGGGGTAGTCGCACCAGAAGAATTAATTTAATTACACTCACACCATCGCTCCTAATTCTATTTTGAGGTCGCACAGATGAAATAAAACGGTCGCAATTTCGAGCCCTGGTTTTGACAACAGAGTCACTCCCCCAGTCCCAAATGGATCCCTTACAGACTCGTTAACTCAAGCACTAAGCCCTTACAGATCTAGGACCAATTCCTTTTCTTCCCCTTTGCCCTTGTCTTGGCCCTTCCCATTGGTTTTGCGTGTTCACGTGAGGAGGAGTGGTGTACTTTTGGGATTGGGTCTCACATACTGTTTCCATAATGATACCTTTATTCTCACCCAGGTTTTGCAGAGCCACACCAGTTAGAGCTTTAGCTGTTTGTTGTATACACAGTAGTAAAGTCATTTACTCTGCTGTGCTTGAACATGTTCAGAACAGATGTCGTAGCCTACTACACTGCTGGTCTTTAGGTGCATACCTTCTACAGGGATGACTTTGCTCTTGTGGAAGGTTTAAGCTGCAGGAAGATTATCGTGTTACCTAAGGCATTAGGTTGAGCCACCTACACTCACTACATTTTTATCTACTACCAGATTGTAGGTGGAGTTTATGTAGATACACGTGCTATATATGAAAAATTACATGAATAAATAGAACCATTAATCTTTGCATGGTATCTATGATGATGATTGTGACATACTGACTGAAAACAATCCTTTTGTGTGTTTGATTTAAGCTGTTAACAGTTTCTAACATTGTCCTTTTTGTCCCAGTGTGGATCCGTATGGCTTTGAGCGCTCAAAGGACTTTGATTATGATTCATATGAGGAGCTCATGTCTGAGTATCTAGTTGTGCTCACCCGAAGATCCATCAAGTGGTCCAAACTAGTGAAGGGCAGAGGCAAGGTGCAGAAGAATGTCAAACGTGAGTGTGAAAACTGAGCATGCCAGTATCCCCACAGAGTGAGTGCACGCAGTGAACAAAATGTAAATGTCCTCCCTCTCCTTCAGTAAAGCGTTATGTACGGAAGGGGATTCCCAATGAGCACCGGGCTTTGATCTGGATGGCAGTCAGCGGGGCTCAAGACCAGCTAGAGAAGAACCCTGTATATTACCAGTCACTGCTCGGAGCCCAGCATGACCCCAAACTGGTGGAGACCATCTGCACAGGTCAGAACAGCTTCTCTTTCAACCAGATGCTCACTTAGGCCTCCTTAAACCAACCAGCCCAAACAAAGACTCACACTGTACCGCCTTACGTCTTCTGTTCGAGGTTGTTATTATTTTCTTGATTAATTGGTTACTTGTTTGGTCTATAAAATTTCAGAAAATGTCTTGTTTCGTTCACAACCCAAAGATACCAGGAAATATTCATGTCTAAGAAGCTGGAATTGGAGATTTTGTTTCTTGAAACATTACTGAAACTGATTAAGCGATTATCTAATTGATGAATCATTGCAGCTCTATTTCATATGAACACACAGTGAGAGAATTCTTTCCCACTCGTCGTCTCTGAGGCCGGTTTAGTCAGTACGCTGATTCGGTTGAATGGCTGCTGATTAATGCTGACTATAGCCAACGGTGCCAGACACACTGAAAAAGCCACAGCCGACAGTCAGTCACACAGAGCACCCTGAGCCCAGCAGTTTGGTGTTTCAAAGCCTTTACACTCAGCATTACAGAATGTTTTGTTAGTGTTCAGTGTGACATATGTGTGGCTCTGTGAGTGAGACTGTTCTTCGATCAGACCAGTTACCCTGTTGATGTTTACTCATGTGCGATACAGGCTGGGCATTCAGATAGAAAACAGCGCTGTTAAAAGAGTGTGTGTGTGAGATAAAAATAAAAAAAAGTAAAGTCTGGGTAATAGACACGTTGGTGTGGAGGCATATTATTTACTAGATAGGTAAACAATACTTCACCTCAGTACATTTCTTGGGATTATTGCATTGTATTGTCATAAAAGTTAGTGCTGTGGCAGGTACATTGACCTCTGCAATGCCCTTTGGCCCTCAATTTAGTATTAAATTCATACAGCACTCAATATACATATTTTTTTGGGGCATTTTTAGCCTTTAATGGATAGGACAGACAAGCGTGAAAGGGGGAGAGAGAGGGGGAGTGATATGCAGCAAAGGGCCACAGGCTGAAGTCGAACCTGGGCAGCTGCGGCAACAGCCTTGTACATGGGGCGCCTGCTCTACCACTAAGCCACCGATGCCCCAGCACTCAATATATTTGAGCAAGCTGTGTGTGGGAAATAGTAAAGTATCCAGCAATGCAACATGGATTAAGATGTTTTCCTAACTTTAACTGTAGTGTTACATTTGTTGCCAAAACAACAACACACAACAGCTCTTCAAATTTGCATGTAAACATCATCTAAATCCAAGACTGATTGTAACAATGTCAGTTGTAAAAGCAGACTCTATCGCACTTCATCTCTGAAATTAACTTGCTCTCATGCACCAAACATGCAGCACTGAATTTGAGTGTCTGTGGCATCTTTTTTCTTTTAGACTTGAACAGAACATTTCCAGACAACGTCCAGTTCCGCAAGACCTCCAACCCATGTCTGCAGAAAGCCCTGTACAATGTGCTGCTGGCTTACGGCCACCACAACTCAGCTGTGGGCTACTGTCAGGTAATTTTTGCATAATACCATTCTCTTAGACCTTCTTACACATGTGACAAAGCTGTCAAAGAAATGTCTGGTTACCTTGTGTCGGGTGCTCATGGAGAACGGGAAACAACAGGATACACAGAAAGGCAATTCAAACACTCCTAATATAATAAACAAGCAAGGAAGTGTTAAGAAGCTTTTATTGTAGTGGCTAAATCATTAAAAGAGCCAACATGTTTTGACGACTGTCAGTGTTCGTCAGAGCTTTAAAAACAAGTTTTTACATCTGTTTTACAAATTTCTTAAACCACCACAAAGTAAAACAACACCCTCAGAGAACAAAAGGCTGTGAATATTTATTTTCCTCAGAGCTATTTAAATTTCAAAGGATACATTGCTTATAAATGCAAAGAAATCAGACAAGGAAATAACAGTTATACACAATGCAAACACATATAGGTTACAGGGTATTACATAAGTAGGCCTACATAAATAAATATACATATAAATATCAAGATAAACCGGGGTACAAGCATACAGAAAGACATGGTATATTCAGTCAGAGGATTTGGGGGATAGAGTTGCATAATTGACATTTTGCTAAGTCCCGGCCCTTTGTGATGGCCCAACAAGCTGTTGGAGTAAGCATTGAGCCCACACTGTAACTAACTGCACTCCCTGAAGACAGGGAGAAGCAGACAGAGGGGTCTAAGGTCTGTGTTTGAAGGATATATCCAGGATGTCAAACTGACTCAGCAGCAACAACAGGTTATAAAGGCAAAGATAGTTAGAAGCTAAAGCCGAAGTATAAATTTGCAGTGAAGGATTTGGGCCATTGTCAGTGTAGATTATAAAAGATAAACATGAAAAACTGACTTAATTATGTACTTCAATATAAGGCAAAAAGAGGACAGTCTAAAGTTGAGTATGTGGGAGCAGAACTATTCTGTAGAGTGACTGTAAAATCACTGAATGCATGTGTGTCCAAAGAGAGGCTGTTTGTGTCAGTGTAGCCTGTGTACGTCATTAGCATTTGAAAGGCAAATTTCATTCACCAGAGCATACGCACCTTGGTTTGCAATTCAAACAAGCAGCAGGGCCGTGTTGATGATTACATCTCTTAGGAAGTATAACTGGACCACATCCATCTGTAGTCACACTCACGCAGCCTGATTCAGTTTGAATGTTTTGTTTCTGTCTCCTTGTTTTGTGTCGAGTGTACTCTTACTACCCTCTCCTCTGATGCTTTATTAAAGAGCTCCTCCTCAGTCTTTATTAAAATCTGCCCAGGCAGGATTTTGAGATTCATGTGTGACCTGAGTGTCTCTCTTTTGTCTCCAGGGGATGAACTTCATAGCTGGGTATCTGCTTATCATCACAAAAGATGAAGAGAAGTCCTTCTGGCTGATGGATGCACTTGTCGGTAGAATTTTACCAGGTGCGTGTGCGTACATTAATTTGCCATCACGCTGGTGTCATGATGACTGTGTGTGTGTGTGTGTGTGTGTGTGTGTGTGTGTGTGTGTGTGTGTGTGTGTGTAGGTGTTGTGGTTGTCCCTTTACTCTGAGCTAAAAATAATCCTGTAGGAGGTCACATGGTCTTTATCTGTCCGTGGCTGAAGACCTACAGTATGTTTTCATCTGTATGTTACACTCCACTCAAAAAAGGAAATGTCAGTATAGATTAATTTAAACTGTTTTCTCTTCATGTATTTGTTGATATCAATTTGCAGTTAATTAAGAGGTATGTCTAACTCACAATAATGTGTGTGTGTGTGTGTGTGTGTGTGTGTGTGTGGTTAGACTACTACACTCCAGCCATGCTGGGGCTGAAGACGGACCAGGAGGTGTTAGGTGAACTGGTGAAAGTTAAAATCCCCGGAGTGTGGCAGACCATGATGGATCATAATGTCACATGGACCCTGGTGGTCTCCCGATGGTTCATCTGCCTCTACATAGACGTCCTGCCAGTAGAGGTGAGTGTATCTGTGTGTGTGTGTGTGTGTGTGTGTTTTCATAGTGTGGATGGGGGGAAGTCCTGCCATTGTCACAGCTGTTTATTTATTACACACGGTGTCCTCAGTTAAACTTGCTTCATTCAAAGGTTTAGGGAGGCTACTGTGGTCACTGGCATTCAGGGCTTTATACAATTAATATACAAGACAGCAAGGTTATTTTAAGCTGTGATGTTTTGCCGTTAATATACAGTATGGTTCTAATCATACAAATAATGAAAGCTCTATCAAATCACACTGTTCACTAAATCCATGTGCTTTATGTCAGCGCTGCTCTAATATAATAAAATAAGCTTTTTATTCTTCTTTTTCTCAAATGGCCAACCAACCACATAAACAGTCTTTGTTGTTGCCAACTCCCTCTGTTAGCCTTTGGATGGGTGTGGACTGTTATGTTCATTCTCTAAATACACTTGGCGCTTCACGAGGAGGGCGTAACACATGCAGATGTTCATGCTGTTCCCTCCAGATTCACCCCCTCACACAGCCAGTAGGAGTTAATACTGCAGCAATAAGAACGATTCCTCACTAACGTCCCATCCCAAGATTGATTCAGGGTTGCTGCTGCATTGTCCAAATTTTTCCACTGCCCCACTTGAGAACAGCACCTGAGATGCAGATTTCTAATGCTAGGGAAGCTGATAGTGAAGTGCAAATTAAGGAAAGGAAGAATATATGGAAAATAATTTACCTCTTTAACTAATTTAACTTAACATATTGTTTCTCCTGACTTTATTTCTCACCTGATATCTTAACAATACATGCATCTGTGCTGCTGGAAAATTGCAACAAGGAGTCATGTTGGAGAGGAAGAAACGGTCCAAAGTGTTGCTTCATTTCATGAGGACACATAATAACAGTGCTGCTGTAATGCCAATAAAATTATGACTTCAAGTGAGGGTCATCTTTCTATGTAGCATGGGCATAAATTCCAGTAATACCATGTATTGGAGGCTCTACACATGAGCACCACTGCTCCCCAACCAAGCAGCATGTCTTATACAGACGGTAAATATCCAGTTAAATAACATTAGCACCACACAGGCAGGCTTAGCACATTTTTTCTTTGACTAAGAAAACCTAAATAAAAAGTAATGCTGTGCAAATATTCTCTTATTTCATCCATTTTACATGGTGACAGTGTTGCTACACTATGTTCAGATCATAGACTGTAAAAATAATGGACGTAGTAACCGTGATGTCAGCCTTTGGTTTGTGGACTCCAGTTTTGAAGCCTTAAAGATTCAGCATCAAGTTCAGCATTTTGGCCATCGCCATCTGGGTTATTTTAGTCAGAAGTGACCATATTTAGGCAAGAGGCTGCCACTGTGGAGGCTGGCGCTATTGGCAGACAGTCTGTCACTCGAAGTGCCCCACCCTTAACTATGTGTGACAATAAGCCTTAATAAAATGTAAACGGGTGTCTTATATAAAAATTCACCCTCAGTACAGTTGTCAAGAAGGAGGAAACTAGCTTTAAAGACACGGGGGTCTGTGGGGATTGACTGGCCTCAGGAGGCAGCCTCAAGTGGTCGTTCAGAGAACTGCAGTTTGTGGCACTTGAGTGTTGGCCTTCATTTTCAGCCCCAGAGGTTGCTGCTTGGTTCAGACTTTGAGATAACAGAAGAGTTGCGTCTACCCTGAATACCTATGAAGCCCTAATTTTTTTTCTACACAGAAACCTGACCAGTAATCAATAAGGGAATCGATAAAGAATCCGACTAATAAGCAGAACTGATAATGGCATTGATATGGCATGGCATAATAGCATCTTATCAGTTCCGATCCCTAACAGTTGGCACGTGTTTACTGGAGGGATTTACTTCTTTGTTATTGTTTCTCTGCAGACAGTACTGCGGATTTGGGATTGCCTGTTCTACGAGGGCTCTAAAATCCTGTTCCGTGTGGCTCTGACACTGATGCACCACAACCAGGATCTGATTCAACAGGCCCAGTCACTGCCGGACATCTGCCAGAACTTTAAGCAAATCACCCATGGGCCGTTTGTCGATGATTGCCATACTTTCATGCAGGTAAAAGAAAGGGAGGTATCCCATCACTGCCAGTCATTAAGAGTGTCAGACACGGGGGAAAGACTGATCAGTATAAAACAGATGTCCCTTCTTGTTAACGGTCTGTAATCCTATAATCCTGCTGTTTTTGCCTTTCCTAGAAAATCTTCACTGAACCAGGAAGTCTCTCCATGGCAACCTTGACTAAGCTGCGGGGGATGTGCCGCTCTCACGTCATTGCTGAAGAATCCTGAACCAAACTCGACTACCTGCTGCTCAAACTCAATACACATTCCACTGGGATGAGCACCCAACAGCTCGTTTGCACCTTTTTTTTTTAAACTTACTGATTTAATGTCACAGTGAAACCACATACTGCTGTATTTTGTCTTAAACATATCGATCAGACGATCGTGCAGCCCAGGTGTAAATATATGGTTAAATGAGAATATTCTTAGCAATGTGCTGTATGACCTGATGATTCCTTTTGAAGCTAACGTAGTTTATTTTGGTGAATTACGCACTTTACTCCAGAAAGTCAGAGACGCTGTAGAGAAAAGGCTTGGCAGCATATGGTCAGATAAAGAATGTGTCAAACACTGTGAGCTCAGCCAAGAGGCCTACTGTATTTCACATTGAATGTTAAATGAAGACTCCATGCTGGCTCTACCTGCTGTGCTAATCGAATGTAAATCACACTGATGTCATGACACAATTTTTTTCCAAACATTTCAAATCTATTTCATGTACTTGTTGGTTGTGCGATGAAATAAGTGGAATTGAAAGGGCTGTTCTCTTTTTCTAAACAAGGCGTGTCCAGTTTGTTCTGTTCGGGTTGCGTGGCCCTTTAAACTGTGATAGTACTTGGATCAGATTTTGTTGCACTGGACAAAAATAACCTTGGCGTCGATCCCAGCTTCTGAGTATTCTCTGTAATGTACACCTGGTTACACAGTTCAGAGTGAACAGCCGTTTTTATTTCACACAAAACAAGATAAATTATGAAGGAGCTGTTGCATGAAATACACTGGACTTTTAATATTTTTATTAACTTTCAGTAAGAGGCATAATAGAAAACGAAATCAAACCATTTTCTATAAAAATAAAAGATCAAATCACTACAATTCATATTAACATTTCTTTAAGGAGAGAGGGGGGGGAAGCAGGAGAATGGGAGATGAATCCATGCACCTGTTCACTTATAATGTTAAACACATTTTAGTAATGCAGAGTTGCACTCTGTGTATGGCCAGACCACTACACACTGATTACACAAAGCAGCTCTCCACCTTTTCATCATCACAATTACCGGATTGTGTTTAATTAGCTGAATTAAGCTGTGCCTCAGTGCACTGTAGAGACAAAGTCCTTCCCCTCGCCACTTTACCCATGGGACCTTATTTCAGATATTACAGTAGTCCATACTAAAAGACGAACAATTATTTGATCCTGTTCAAACTGTGCCATTAATTTATACTTATGATGTTTGTTAATTTAAAAGATAATTTTCCAAGTCAAGGAAGTGGCACTTTGTCGTAGGTAAACTACAGCTTTCATCTCGCACAATTCAGGATGCTAACACCAGCTAGCTAGCTAGGTACTTTAGCCAGGTTCTACGCAAAAATTAGGTTTATCATTATGATTTGTTTTATCTAGCGACTCCTGGTGTTTTTATCAGCGGGAAGCAAAAGAACAAGCAAGAACTGCTACTTGTGCGAGTACGACCCTGTACAAAACACAGGCATCGTGGCCTCAGAGAAAGAAAGCTATGACATATGCGACTCCTGTAGTCTTTTTCAATAGTTTTTCAACAAACTGCACCTTTCTTGACTCGCAAAATGTTCTCTTAAATTAACAAAATCCTGGCACAATTCAAACAAGATCAGAAAATTATTTTTCTCACCGTTAACTACTGTACATTTTCTGTTTCCAATTTAAGGTCCTATAATCGTCCACTAGAGGGGGCGGGACTTTTGCCTCTCTATTGGGACAGTCTCCACTGTGGAGGAAAACATTTGGAAAACACTCAGAGCTTTCCCTTTTTAGCTCATGTAGTTAAAAAAATGCTAGTGAGCATGTGTAGGTGTAAAAATAAAACTCCACCTAACTTGAAAGGTTTTACTTGCACACACAAGCCATAAAAAAACAATTATCTTTGTCCTTCAATTCATTTGACCCTCCCTCTGACTCTAATTTGCAAATGATTTTTTTTTTTATAAATAATTACACCGCTAAAAACAAGTTCAAGCAAATCCAACCAACCCCTAGAACTTCATGAAGCAAGAGTAAACAGCTGACAGTGAACTTGCCGCAGCAAATTCAAACTACCTCCATCGACTGTGTGAAGACTCGGTCCTCTCACGCTTTATCAAGATGCACACCATCTAAAGTTAGCAGGTCTGTGGCGTCTCATCATCATCTCACAGAGAAAGTGAAAGGTAAATAAAAAATATCCAGAGGTCACATAGGATAAATGCAAAAACATGCACTCGCCAGAGTAATAACTGCCTCCATTCACTCATGCTCGTGTCCATAGTCTATTATGTTCCTGCTCACACACACTGGGATCCATCTCTCCACTGTTCAGTCTGTCAGGTTTAAATGAAATGAATGGGTTCATTCAGATGGTCTGGTATCCAGCGTGGCTCCTCTTCCTGCCTATTAGATATGCAATGAGGACGATCAGCACCAGGCCGGCAAGAGCTGCTCCGACAATGATGGGGATGAGCATCTGGTCTTGATCCATCTGACACTCCTCCGCTGTAGACGGAAAGAAAAGACGAGACGGATGTGAATTTTGGATCTAGAAACAACGTTACTGTCTCACAGTAAAACCCAACACTGCTCTCCAAATATACTTTGTGACCAAGCGGCAGCGTCCAGTGACTGAAAAATGAAACCAAAGCAGAAGTGCCAAAAAATGCAGTTTCTTGAATGGCCACTAGAGGCTTTGAGTCGATCCTAACAGACCCTGATCAGGCCCAAAAAATCAGGCAGAAGGAAACACTGCCAACTGAGTCACTTTGCAGAAAAGTCAGAGGATAAAGATAAAGAAAACTTAGGATAAAGAGTGTACATCAGTGAGGATGATTAAAATAAAGGACTTGTACCTGTAGCAAACTGGTTGGTAGTGACTGCAAAGGGTTGGACCTGCAGTCTGAATGTGTTGAGAGAGAAAGTGGGCACCACAGCCAGAGTTTGCTCAGTGTTGCACATGTAGGAGCGGCCCAGCGTACTCCGCAGGTAGTCCAGGCTGGTGTTACTGGCTGTGAAGGGAGCTGAGGACAGAAAGACGGATCAGTACGTTTTATTAAGCAAATCGGAGCAAAGTCAAAGAGTATGTTGCTTGCAATGTATGACATACCAGTTGCATCAGTCAAATTAGCAAGCACAGTTATCCCACTCAGGTGGTACTTTTTGCTCGTGGAGTTCTGTGGACGGGAGGAGATGGGTTTGAATCAACACTTGTATCCACACACAAACAAAAACTAACTCAGCTACACTACTTACTCTCTTACCAGACTGAACATGAAGGTGAGCGTGGTGCTTCGCTCCTGTGTCAAAACCAAGGAAGCACTGCTGGCCTCACATGATCCTGAGGAGTTTGTCAGATCTGGTGTCAGGTTTATTAATTCTTGGACAGTCTGGAAAAGTAAACAAATATACATGTTGTTTGGAGTTTGTTGCACAGAACAGACTGACAACATTCAGTATGTATTGATTATTTTACTATGAGTTTTCCTGGTGTGTAAATCTTTTACCTTATTCTGAGACACAGAGAAATAAGAGACGTTGAGCTGCAGTCCCATTTGGGCCAGGAGACATACAGTGCCGTTGCCGTTTTTTACAGAGTAAGTGCCCCGCTCAGGTGTTCCTGGAGGGGTCGGTGCTGGAGCTGCAGTTGTTGTAGTACTGGCAGTGGTAGGTGGAGCTGTAGTGCTGGCCTGATCTGCCATACACACGCTTTCTGTGATGAGAGAAATTATAAAGGAATGTGGAATTGATGGGCCGTATAAAAAAAAAAAAAAAGGCAACTCAAAACAACCTAAAAACACAATCAGAGTCGTACCTGTTGGACTGAGGTCATTTCCTGGCATATATGCCTCCAGTCTCATATTAGAGAAAGTGACAGTTGCCCCACCAACTCTAAAAGTGGAGGGGCTCACACAGCGGTAGGTGGTGTTGATCGTCGCCCAGATCCCAACTGAAGCTGACACCACAGTCACCACATCTGGAACAAAATCAAACAACAAACTAGTTATAAATATGTAATATGATACCTGTAGAGTATGAGCCCATGTGTACTAGGATGTTTGAAATGCATTTTAGCAACTGATTAATTTACTTATTTCTGGAAAGCAATGATCTTCTGAGATACAACACATCTTCCTAACCTACTGAGTCAAACTGTAAATTCAATACACAGACATATTTTGTGCTCCTATCATGCTTAAAGGAAAACTTCACCCACAAAATGACTTTTTTTTTAAAAAAAGATATTTTTCTGGGCATTTTGCCTTTAATTGGGGGGGGGGGGCTGTTGCGGTAACAGCCTTGTACATGGGGCGCCTGCTTTTTGCATATGAGGTCATATATCAATGTGTCCAGATGGAGGGCAGGCGACAGGAGGACTACCACCACAACACAAATGCCTATGATGCGCACTGTTTACGTCTGTTTCAATCGATCAATTTGGGGAAAAACAAAGGCCACTTTAAGTCCTGAAATTAACAGGATGTAAAGGGGAGATGTAAAAAAAAAACCTCACTGAGAAACAGCGACAGATGTGCTTCAAAAACCTCTGTCTTCAGTCTAGATGAGCTGAGTTAGCTAATGTCAAACATTAACATCAAAGTGTTGTGTTGAACGTTGGATGCAGTTACATTGTGCTGTGACAGCTCCTCTGTGTTTTTGACCCAGATTTTTAACAATGTTCCACCAGACCTCTGGGAACAGTTGACCTAGTAGGTGGAAAAAGCAGCAAAAGTTAGCTGGGATAGCGGTGCATCCATGTACAGAGTTGAAATATATAAAACAAAGCTATACTAAAGTACATTTACTCACGGAACCAAAAACAAGACTTCAGTCTCTTCACAAAATAGTTTAAGTCCACTGGACTTCTGTACAGTTAAATCTGCTCTCCATGCAACGTTAGTAATGTTAGGAGGTCTGGAGGATGACGTAATTTGTAACAATGATCGTGTCCACAGCGGGCAATCTGATCAAGTTGTGAGAGAAATCCCTTTTCTTCATTTTGTATAGATCACTTCCAACATGAGCTTTAATTTTCTGATGATACTTGCTGCCTGCAGATTCATCCAACCCTTTTATGTAGTCACTTTCCTCTATATCCAGTGATGCAGTCCATGGAAATATCACTTCCTGCCCTCCATCTGAATTTTGCCTGTCATGATAGCAGTGTGATGCAAACAAGCTATTGGAGTCTGGCTTTGAAGAGAGCATAGATAAGTTTCACTTTAATTTCAGTTTTAATTGTTAAGGTTTTAACAAAAATGCACGTGTTTGAGGAGTACTGAGCATATGAGTGGATAAATGAGACTTGGATTTTACTGCACAAGTCGTGAGAGAGTTTGTAAACAGATGTTTTGATGTAGTTCTGCTGTTCTGCTGGAGGCATGCAAGAAAAACAAAATTTTCTTCATGAATTCAAGGTAACATGTCATGACTAATTGATATACAAATGGTCATTTTGAGGGTGAAATATTTCTTTAAGGTCAAATACTGGTTGCTTGTGGTATCTGTTTATTCCAAATTCAAGCCACCAGTTTATTTTTTTTTTATTAACACATAGTTATTGTTCACCTTTCCCTGTATTGTAATATAACATTCATTTATTCATTCATCTTCTAACCGCTTCATCCTCTTGAGTGCCCGGAGAGAACCCATGCTGACACGGGGATAACAAGCAAACTCCACACAGAAGGGCTCCCACACCCGGGATCGAACCGGCAACCCTCTTGCTGTGAGGCGACAGTGCTAACCACCACACCACCGTGCCGCCGTAATATAACACTGATTATCTATTCTATAATACCCACAGTACCCCCTCTATACACCTTACACTGTTGATATGAGATTCAGGTTTTTGTTCTCACCGGAGCTGTTCGCCTCAGGGAAGATGGAAGCGTCGCTGAGGTTGTACTGCAGCGTGAGGTTAGCGACACTGTACTGACTTCCATTGGATGAAAAGCTCAGCCCCAGCGCATGGCCAGGTCCAAACACCGCCACCAGCCATGGCGAGCTGTCGGCTGTGCCACACGAGCTGCTGCCTGTATCTACTGTGGTGGAGTCAGGCAGAGGCACCTGCACTGTTCTCTGAGGTAAGACAAGAGATAGGATGTTCACAAGGATATAGAGTCAATTAAATCAATACATATTGATGCTTTCAGAGATGGAAACCAGAATGTTATCATCACTGTACATACTGTGCTGCTGGAGGTGTTGTACGTGATGGAGAACGAGGCAGAGAGCTCAGCCTTAATGCAGGTGGAGTTCCCCTGCTTCACCTCAAGAGTGACAGCCTGAATGCAACCTGTAGAGGAGAACATAATGAGCAGGGAGGTACAGTAGTGAAATATATGGGGAAAAATTGCAATGAAAGCAAACATCTTAAAAACAAGCTCATGTGAAATTAAAATCTACTGGAAAATTACCTTTTCTCCATATTCAGACAAATATGACAATGACCTGTGATATGTTGTTACAAATGAACTGCTGATCAGGGCTGCAGCTAGCAATTTATTTCCACCCATTATTTTCTTGGTTAGATGTTTTGTCAATAAAAAAATTAGAAAACAGTGAAAAATAACATCTTCACAGTGCATTTTCATCCAACCAAGTCCAAAAATCCAGAGCTATTCAGGTTATTATGTTACACAAGAAAAGCATCCAATTTTCACTGTAAAAACTGTAAAACCAGCAAATGTTTGACTTCTTTGCTTAGAAAAAAAAATGCCTAAAATGATTACTCAGTTCTCAAAATAGTTAAAAAACTGCTACTAAATACATCTGGATGCTGTGTGTACCTACTGTATTGATGTAAAAACACACACTTGTTTACTGATTCATCATCTGGGTCTTCTGGTTTGTATTTGACTTGCCTGGTTACATAAAGGTTACAGGATGAGGCCAGATGATTGCAGTGATGATGATCACGACGTACAAGTGTTACATGATGCCATGCCCTACATATGAAATAAAGCACTTCACACAAGTCACCACCAGAGGTCTGCATACTGCTAAAAGTGACAGACCAAGACCAGAACCCCAAACACAATTATAGAGCTTGTTGGAGCTACTTGTACAAGGTGTAACTGAAACTCTCCTAAGTGTTGAGACAGGAGTCCTATTGATTAGCTCATTTAACCTGGCAACTTTCACACTTGCATGCTATTAATACCATCATGCCCTGGAAACTGCTAACTCACGGTGTGTGTGTGTGTGTGTGTGTGTGTGTCTGATAGTGTCTGTAACTCTTGAACTTATTGTTTGAAAGCTACAACGGCTATTCAGGACTCATGTACTTATCAATCCCACAACTCATATCCTTTAAAAACTTCTCACCCATTTTTATAACACAGTAATGCAATACAGGGGTTTCAGCAGTTGCTTCACACTTACCAGAATGTCTACATACTGAGGCATTTTGTGGCCGCTGTATGACAGCTTCCAGTTAACCTTCCGACAGCACCGATTTTCCTTTACTGTAATCTGTGGTACTAGATTGTGTTTTATTTCTTTATTCAGTTCAGTCATATTTTAGTGATAAAGGACTTGGAGTGACTTGGACATTTCAGGATTGATAGAGAACTTAATAAATAAATATTCTGCCCACAGGCCACTAAGAAGTATTTATGGAACTGAAAAGATGCTCTAAATAGATGTTGGTTACCTGCTTACATTGCTGAGAGACATTAGCATTTAGCTTGTGGACCATGCCACTGGTACTATTCCCATAACTCACTTATTACGCAGCTGACTGACTGAGCTCTTTCTTATTCATCTCACTTCCCCTCCCCTCACTTCCCTTCATCTTGAGCTTTCTCCATTAATGTAATGTATTGATCCTACAGGAAAGAGCACCGTGCTCCAGTCCTCTGTCAGTCTCTGTCAGTCACATGCACACACACACTCCCCTCCTGCTGCCTTGCTGAAACTTGACCCAGACCCTATGTCACCTCTCTGTTCACCCGGTAAACACACAGCAGACGGTTTACACAACACTGCAATCTGATCGTGAGGTAAAAGTGGCTGTGTGTACAAAGTACTGAGCTGCAGATAGCTCGAGATAGATGAGACGGTCTGCATGGGGAGTATAACAAATAGGGCTACACAATATATGGTGTTGTTTTAATTGTCACTGCGATGTCAGCTTGTTTTGAGTTGACTGGACAAAACAAACATCAGTAGAAAACTCAATTTTAAATACAACTCATTATTTTTTAATTGGTGCTTTTTTTGTGTCCAATGTTCAATATAAATATAGGAAATAATTTCCTGTCTTTTTTAAAGACAACAAGCCGTTTGTTGTATTTTAGCAGTATACTGGAAGCAGCAGAAAAGCAGAACACTTTAGGATCTGTTGATTTATCACAAGTAACATTGTTATTGCGATATTCAACGTTATCGCACATCATGTATCATGTATCCTTCCTGACACTGCAACTTATGCTGTGAATATGCATCCTCATCTGGTGCCACTGGGCTTGGTCTGTAGCAGAAATCCTCAACATGGTGCAGAGCAGCAAACGAAACTGAACTACAGAGTCAACTACAGTAATCACATGGTATATTTTAGGATGAGCACTAAAAGGTTAAAAAAAAAAAAAAACCATACTGCAGCTACCCCAGCCACAACTGCATTGGCCTGTTTTCCTGTGTCAGCAGCCAGGTGTCTGTGCGTGTGTGTGTTCAGGCTGATTAAACTGGTCATAAAATAACACTGGCAGTAGGCCTCTACCGGGCTGTGTGAAACACAAAGCCATCATAGCGGTCACATGAAGCTCTCAAATGACTCAACAATGAGGCCGATCTGCTGGTCTACAACATTAACAAAACCTGGGTATTATATTAGAATAGAATAGAAAAGAATAGAATAAAGTCCAGGGACTTCTTTGGTATCTCTGGTCTGTTTTGACACAACTACCTGAGGACAAATGACATTTTGGATTTTCTGACAAGTCCATGTGAAACTTTACACATCAGCTTTTTGATCAAACTTGGAGGGGCATATAAGTTTGCACTGGTTAGGGGCCTTATTATGAAGTCAAGACATGATTTAATATAATAAATTATACATCAAATAGTGAGGTTAGACTCCTCACCTGACTTCAGTAATAGTCTATTACTTCATACTCAAGTGCACATTACTATATAGCATAGTTACATTTAGACAACACTTAGCTGCAACTACTTACTTTAATTGTCAATTAAGCTGGTGATTATTTTCCAATTAATAAATGGACCTAGATAACTATAAATAATAAATAAATAAATAAACCTGTAAAATGACAGAAAAGTGCACGTGACATCTTAAGTAGTTCTGTCTGCCCAGTTACATTGACACACAGTCTCTGAACAGTTTATAGTCAACTATATTCAATACAAAGACACATTTTGAGAACAATTTGATTGATCGATTATATTAGTTTCCGTTTAATCTAGTCGTTCAACACGATTAATCGACAGCTTGTTCCTGCTAAGCTACCTGTTCACACTAACATGCTAGCCTGGACACCACGGCGGACCAACGGTCAGCGCTCGTGACGTCGTTCGGTCCAACGGTAGCAGCAGCAGGGCTACGAGGTTAGCTTTACACTGCAAAACACTCACCTAAAACCGCACACCAGGCGATGATGAGCGCGGCCAAAGCGTGGGAGAGTTTCATCCTTCCGGGCGGACTTTACTTCTTTTTGTCCCCCCCTGTTAAAGAGAGATAATAGCCCCCGGAGGTGGTGTTGTGTCTCTGCAGGCTGTAGGCGCAGGTGGGTCTACGCGGCGAACTGCACTTGACTTGACGGACCGTTAGCTTAAACTGAAGCGTCACTGTTGTTGTTGTTGTTGTTGTTGTTGTTGTCCTTCTTCCTGTTGTTGTTTACGTTCCTCTGCTCTCTGAATATAAACGGAGAAGAGTTGTTTGTTGTTCCTAAAGCTCGTCTTCCTGGTAGAAACTGTCGTTAGACGCGGTTAGAGTCGGTAGCAGCCGCTCCGAGTGAATAAACCATGACTCGTCATGTGAACTGGTAGCATTTAGAGCCACCCAGTCACGTGAGCCCGCCCCCTCCTCTTTCTTTCACGAGCTCGATTCAAGGCAGCGATAATAAACTGTCCTCTGCGCCATTAACAAAGACAAAATGTCACTGATAAACACTGCAGATTAAATAGTTAACACATTTCCCACTGTGTAATTGCCTGAGAAAATTACTGCTGATAAATATGACTTACAACAGACTTGCATAACTGTACATAGTGTCGGGTAGGTGTGAAGAGGCGCCTCATGAGAAAAATAGTGCACTTCCAGGAATAATATCACAACTCTCCTTCGGGTTAGTGACATATGTCAACGCTAATTAATCAAAAGTAATTAAAATACAATGTGGGAGCAGAAAAAAACACCCCAACAAGTAAAAGAATTTGTCCTGGTTGGTGGGTTTGCCTTGTCTTCCTGATACTTTTCACTCAAATTCATACCAAAGTACAAAGTGTTGAATACAGGAATGCACTTGAACACAACATGGCTTAAATACATGCAACGTACAGTAACGAGCTATACGGTATATGAAATGTACTGTAGCATGTGAGAGACCGCACACATACACACCCTGTGCTGTGCAGGCTGCAAAGTGCAAGTGTTGTGGCTAGTCAGCTGACACCTACATCAATTCACGAGGGAGTGCAAAACCCTAGAAGGAACGCAGGGGCTGCTTTAAAGCTACAGCCCGAGACTTATCAGGGCCCTGCTACATTCTCGCTGCATAGCTCAGTCATGCTTTTTAAACAAAAGACACGCAGTTTACTTGTCTTAAAGTGACACTAGAATGTCATACAACTAGAGGTTGATGTTGTCTTTAGGATCTATTTTTTTAATCGTGCAAAAGCTGTACATTCCCTGTGGTGATAGTGAAAGCAGTAAGAAACACCCTTTCATTTCCAGTTCCACTTTCCATTAACTCGAGCCACTAAAATCCTGAATGACTCATGTTTAGCAAAAAATGAAAATAGCTGAATGCCATTATCCAAAATTGAATTTTTTCAAATTGAAATCAGGAGTGTGGAAAAAGAAAAACATCCTTATTGTAACATTTGGGGCTGAGTGATACAAACTGAAAAACAGTGTTTTGATGCATAACAGACATTCTGATCGACGTAATGTCCATGTTTTGATTCTTAAACACATCACACAGCTCCATACAAGACAGACACCCTCCTTGTTACTCACCAGCCCAAATTTACAATGATTGGAGGTGTTGCACACTGCATGAGGAACTACGTAGCAAACTCAAACTGACAGAGTCAACAGTGCAGATATGTGTTCAAATTAAAAAAAAAAACAAAAAACACTACCACTAGCTGTTTATCTACAAATAATTCATTGAATCATTAAATATCCATTTATTCAGGTTCACTTTTCTCACTCTTACATAGAATACAATCTGATCTACAAAAACGTCAGCACATGACATTGGACATTTCGACATTTTGGTCAAAACATATAAGATACCCAAAGAAATACCCAAGTAGGTTGCCTGCATGTCATTTAGCGCCCGTGTTACAAGCGATGAACCCTCCCTCCGACCCCAAACCCTGCGTCCCACTTCATCCTTCCCCGAGTCTCTTCTTGTTCTCAACAGCTGTTTCTCTGCCAAACCAAGCAATAAACCAATCGTGTTTACACTCAGCAGTTGATGCAGCCATTCACAAAGAGAACAAAAAAGAAAAAAAATCTTAAAACTCAAGACAAACCAACTATTGTAGAAAATAAGTGATTTTAGAACAACGTAATGGAAGGGAAAAAAAATCCAAATCCCAGGGAGGAAAACGAAAACAGAGGAAAGTGCTAGTTATTTTCAGTTGAGTTTTGCATTAGCAGATTTGTAAGTCACATAAGCCAACCATCAACAACCTGAGCCACTCCTCCAGCCCCATCCCACTCAAGATCACACACAGTGGGGAACAGTTCAGCCAAATCTCTCTTGTCTCTCTGGAGCTCTGTGTGACCTGGACGCTGCATCCAGGATCGTGGCTGGAGGGAAAGGTGGGCACCAGAGAAGAGTCAGGTGGCTGAAAGGGCTGTAATGCTGTTTTGGGAAGGGCCAGCTGTGCGCTTGCTGTGAGGAAAGCATGGCGGTAACAGTGGCGTCCCTTCAGGCAACATAGTGGTACTGGTTAGGAGTCTCCTTGTCACGTTCCATGTAGTCTCTGTCTATGAGCGACTCGATCCGTTTCTTCAGATCGCCGGGCTATAGATAGGAAAGCAAGTCAGATGCTGATGAGCTTTGTGTGTGTGCGTGTGTGTTGGAAGAAAAATCTAAATAATGATAAGTTAGGACATCACCTTTACAGGGAACTTCAGCTGGTTGTAGAGCTCCGACACCAGTAGATTATGACTGAGGGTCTTCCTCATCTTCATGATGCGCACCACAGCTGCATCAATCTGATACTGCCTGTCTTGGAACACACGCTCTGTGGTGCTTACCTGCTCCTCCACCTGTTTGGAAAAATGTGTTTAAGAAATGGATTCCTTTTAAACAGGAAAACACATCTAAGTGGTAAGTATAAAACTGTATAGTACACAAGTAGTGACAGTGTTTTTACCGTTTCCTTCATCTGGATCTGGTTGATCTTGATGCGGAACAGTTTGTGTTTAAAATCGTTGTTGAAATTGAAACGGTCTCCGTCTTCCACGTCTTTGCCTCGGGGGTTCTTGTTGAGGACGCGCGCTTTTCCACACGCCAGGGACTGCAGTGTACGTCTGAGCTCTCCCTCCTCTGTGCAGGACAAGAGAGGCAGTGTTATAGTGATACAGCAGGTACCTTTCTCACAACAGAATAGTTGTAATACATGTTTAAAGACGTGTATAACCTATGCCGGTGGCGGTGCGAATCTCCTCCATGCTGAATTCCTCTCCCTCATTAAACATCAGCAGCACTAGCGTCTGGAAAAGCGAGACCTGCAGCTCCTTTTTACCCTGTGAGATAAAGTAGTCATTGTAAGTGCAGTTAAGACATTTTCTCACGTCCACTGACCCTGACTAAGCCCCGCCTCTTTGTTGTTAGCCAATGACTGTCTGTCAAGCTGTCAGAAGGAGCACGGAGCCCACACTAACTGCACTCCCTGAAGAAATATCACATTTTTGGAAAATGAAAAAGAGATTTCAGAGAGAAGCAAACTAAAGGGTCAAAGGGTTTGAAGAACATGGCCAGGATGCTGAACTAACTCAGCAGCAAAACAGGTTAAGAAAGATGAAGACAGAAGGTAAAGCGTAATGTACAAATCACAATGTAAAAGTGAACCACTGTATTAACTGGTGATCGAGATACAAGACAATGAAATTAAACCCTGCCTACTTTCCACCAGCTCTTTGCCATCACAGTGTGTGCAGATGAGCAGCGTTTGGATTGCCCCCAGTGCCGCCAGTTTCTGGACCTCCATCCGCAGAAGGGTATCGAGCTCAAAGGGCAGCCAAACACTGTTCATTTGTAATCATAGCGTATTGGCTGGTCTGCATTTGCTGCCAGGACAAAGCGAAGTTTCAATGTGTCTCTCTTCTTTATGTCCCGTTAGGATGCATATGCCCTTACCTCTTTAAACTCCGCCTTAAGCACAGCGTGGCCCAGTGTTGGCTGCCATTGCAGCTTCCTCCCACTGTGCTTCCCCAGGTAGAACAGCTTGAACACCTCCTGGAGTTTGACCATCTGCCAAAATACAGAGATGAAATTTGTACCAATATTGTCTGTAACACAGTCTGTCAATGATCAGTTGATGACTCTAAGTTTAGAGAATAATCAGTGAGAAGACACAAACAGCATCAGGCTCTCTTCTTCTGACAATGTTTTACCATGTTGCACGCTTACCTCTGGGGGCAAGTGGACCTCCATGGGTGTGTATGAGGGCCAGTAGCCCATGGTGAGGATGTTGACAGTAAGTTCTATGTTGCTTGGCTCGCTCTGGTTCTGCATATACTGAGTAGAAATATCATAATTCTTACAATTATGCATGAAAAATGCATTTAATGACACAGAACAGTGGAATGCATACACATACTGTAAACACGGCATCACTATTTCCAAGCGACACGTGCATGTTTATTAGTGTATCTATGTGCACACAGTTTGAACGTACCTGTTTGAATTGGATCATGATGTCTTTGGACAGTTCCATGTCCTTGAACATGCCCTCTAGCTTACTGGTAAATGCTGCTCCGCATTCTGGAGGAAGTCAAAACCACAATATATCACACAACTGACTTGTTCTCACACCCCCACATGTGCGACCATGACATACTACCTCGGATTTATTGATTAATCAACTCTTTACTTTAGTGCTTCATCCACTACAATACTGGGTAGATGTTTTTAAGGGCTGCAATGAACAATTATTTTTAATGTCAATTAAGCTGTCAGTTATTTTCTTGATTAATCAATAAGTTGTTTGGTCTAGAAAATGTCAGGAAATGGTGAAAAATGTTGATCAGTGTTTCCCAAAGCCCAAGATGACGTCCAAAAATGTCTTGTTTTGTCCATAACCCAAAGATATTCACTTTACTGTCAGAGAGAAGTAAAGAAACCAGAAAATATTCACATTAAAGCTGGAATCAGAGAATTTTTTAAACTTTTTTCCTTAAAAATGACTCTGATTAATCTATTATTTAAATTAGTTGGCCAATAATTTAAATGTATACTATGCAGGACTGTTGATTTAAGTTTGTAACATGCTTGCCAGAGAAAGTGAAATTAAAAATGAAAGCCAACCAGATTCATTCTCGTGAAGCATTTCTCTATATTTGCGTTTTTTTGCATCATGTCTCTTGGCTGCCTGCTGCTTGCAGTCTGGCACTTGGTCTCTACCTTTTTACAAAGCTCCCACCTCAGCTGAGCAGTGTGGGGGTACACGACCAGTAACATCCTGAACACAGAAAATACGAAATTACAGGCAGAGGGGAAAGTCTCCCCACACCCTCTCGTGGGTCCTTAGTGATGATTTAGAGGGATTACGTCTGTTTGAGTCTACAGAAGTAGAGCTCCAGTGTATG